AAAAAAAAAAAAAAAAAAAAAAAGATCAACCATAAATGTAAATAATGAAAATGATTTAGCAAAAACGGCAAAGCTGGTTTAATACATGTACATTTTCGGGAGTGATTAGTTCCTTAATAAGATGAAGCACAATTAAAAGAAAGTGAGACCACAGGAAACACACACACACACACACAGGCGTGCAGAGACATGCACAAAAATAGGTCGGTGAGGGCTGGAGTGTGTCCAGGCAGCAGTGCGTCACAGAGAATGTGGGACACACACAACCGTGCGAGGAGAAAGCCACACACAGGCAAGCAAATGACAAGGCATAGCAGACAATCCACCACGACTCAGTAAGATCTCTGCGGTCAAATAATAACTTTGCATGACCGAAACGCTCTTTAACAGAACCAGGTCTTTTCAAATGACAAATTACCTAAACTATCCTAATGGGTCGTAATTTGTTTTAGAAAAATTGGATTTATAGTAGCCCTGTTTGAAACAAATTTATTGAAAAATTTTAAATCTTGCATCATTTCATTGTGTGGTGTGTTTGTGAGCGAGCAAATCACAGGGAAAGAAAGCTGAATGCGGTTGCTATTTGGGTAAACATTTGACAGTTGTTTGGGGCTTTTATTTTACACACCAATGCCACGGGCCCTCTGTATAGTGTTTTATAACCTTCAATTATAAGGAAGCTTTTCCCACTCAAACTTGATCTACGATGGAAAAATAAAGAGAAAGAGAAGGCTTTATGTGAAAGATGAACAGGAGACTAAATGTCCAACTCAATTTTTCCTAGTCATTTTATTCTATCCCTCAGGTATGCAAGAGGTTCGCTCTCTTTTCCCCAAAACTACAGGAAGCTGGAGCTGAGCAGCGGATGCAACTTTAGAAAAAGCTTCGCTATAAAAATAAGCCTCTGTCTACCATTTTATATTGGAGCTTTAAATTAGGGATTGTCCAAAAAAAGGGGAAGAAGGACCAAAATATTTCCATGCAGAAAATGTTTAATACTTGTTGTGGCTTCCCTTATGAAAGACAGTAGACAAATGGTGACAACAGAAAAAATGTAGAAAAAGACATCTATACATCTGTACAGATGCTGCAAAAGACTTGAGACTGGGTAAATAATCATCTTCCAGCAATGTGACTGTGGGCATGTAGAAGGACTTGAATTCTAGAAATTTGTGACAAAATATACAACCTAAAAAAAAGATCCAATCTAATCTGAAAACTCTTGAGTCATTATGCAAGTAGAATAAGAGCTAGAATTTCTATTGACGCAAACCTGGTTTACCTTAGAAGGACTCATGCTTTATTTGCTATTCAAATTACTGACTCAGGCGGCTGAATACAAATGAGTGCAAAATTCTTTAGGATTGTTTCTTTTGTTTTTAAATGTTTAAAACCAGGAAGTTTTTTTTTTTTAGATTAGATTAGATTCAACTTTATTGTCATTGCACAGGTACAGGTACAAGGCAACAAAAGGCAGTTTAGGTCTAACCAGAAGTGCAATCGCAGCAAGTGCAGGATAAATAATGGTTCTATAAATACAGGACATGGGTTCTACTAAAAGTTCTGAGGTTTGCTGGGATTTCCTTAGAAAACTTTTTTACCAATCTGAATATATGATCCGATTTAATTGTTGGTGTAAAGTGCCCTGAGATTAATGTGTTGTTAACTGGTGCTATAACAAATAAAACGCAAGGAGCAATTTTGTGAGAAAACGGAGGGACAGGAGCGCGGAAAAGAGCAGGGATCAAGGTGGAAAAAGGGTCCCAGCGTTCTTGCGCACCTCACTCTTCTAGCTGGTCCAACTTTATGAGTTGTTTTCCACAATGGCGGTCATATAAACAAAACAAGCTGGTAAGGCACCAAACAGGAAATACGCATAGTGTGGAGCGGATGTAGATTTGACCAATCAGATGCCTCTGTCTGTGACACTGTTTGCGTTCACCTACAATTTTGGAGAGGTTCACTAGAGTTCCTGCAGAAGGGGTGGGGCCATATCTGTGCTAACTGCAACACAAACACAGACGACCTGGTTTCTGCGAATAAACCAGCCTTAAGGCTCAACTTCTACATGTTTAAAGTTATTGTGTCATTTCTTCTCCCTCACTTAGCAGGTTTTCATTACTTCACCAGATAAGGAGAATGGACAGTTTTAGATGTTCT